AAGAAATAAATGCAATTCATAATCTTTTGGTTGATTCAACTTAACAATATTTGGTTAGTCAGTGCTTGACACAATTCCTCGTGGGAACGATCTTTACTCATCATTTTATTACTTGTTTGACTAGTACACTTGCTAATCTGACAACAAGTTTTTGGCGCCGTTGCCGGGGAATTTGTTTTTCAACATTGACAGACACCGTTAGTTGTTAAGATTGAATCTTTTATTTTCAGTATTTTATATTTTTGTTGTATGAATTTTTGTTCCATTTTAATTCTGGTGTATGCAAGGTACTTTTGATTCAACTTCTTTGTTGTTTGACCCAGAGTTAGAAAGGACAATTAGAAGGAACAGGAGGGCAGCCAGAAGAAGGAAATTACTGGAAAGGGAAGAACCAAGTGGTGAACCAAGTACTACAGTACAGGAAGAGAATATGGCAAAAAACCATGTGCAACCACCACAAAGGACATTGGGAGATTACATGACTCCTGCTGTTATTCCACCCATTGGAAGTGTGGTTCGACCTACAGTAGAGTCCAATAATTTCGTATTGAAGCCTGCACTGGTACATTTGGTGCAGAAAGAACAGTTTGCTGGAACAAGTGTAGAGGATCCATACCTGCACATTGAAAATTTCTTGTTGTTAAGTGACACTGTGAAGATTAATAGAGTGTCCAGAGATGCCATTCTTTTGAGGCTTTTTACTCATTCACTGAAGGATGATGCCAGGAGATGGCTACAGTCACTACCACAAGGAAGTATTACAACTTGGGATGACCTGCAGACCATGTTTTTGGCAAGATTCTTTTCAGCATCCAAGAGGGCAAAGTTGAAGGATGAGATTACAGGGTTCAAGCAGAAAGAATTAGAGTCTATCTATGAGGCCTGGGAGAGGTTCAAGACACTCTTGAGGAAATGCCCACAACACGGGATAGAAGTGTGGAATCAAGCAGCAATCTTCCTCCAGGGGTTGACAACCACTACTGGTGGTTCATTGACAACCAAGACTCCTCAGGAAGCCTTGGACATCTTTGAGTCCTTAGCATCTCAGGAGTTTGACAATGCTCCAATGAATGACAGAAGAATGGGAATTTTAAATTGGATGGCTATGATGCTTTATTAGCCAAGAATGACCAGATGCAGCAAGTGCAGAAAATACAACAACAACAAATTGATTCTCTCACTAAGCAGCTTTCTTCTCAGAAGGTTGCTTCTGTGGACACTAATTCTGTGTGTGCCAGTTGTGAGAAAAGCCATGTTACAGATGATTGTGATTGTGGGAGACCTGATGAACAAGCAGAAGTTAATGGAGTATGGTATGACCATAACAACCAGAGGAATTACAACAACCAGGGGCGAAATGTGTATGTGCAACCATGGAAGAACAAGAATCAACACCCAGGGTTCAGTTATAGTTCCAACCATCAGTTGAATCCTCCACTACATCCTCCTCCAACACACTCATCACAGCCAATTGATACTACTGCATGGGAGAAAGCTTTTGCCCAGTTATCAAAGACTACTCAAGATTATATCTAGGGGTCAAATTATTTCAGGGAAGAGACTCATGCTTTCATGCAGGAGACTAAGACAACATTCAGAAACCAGGAAGCATCCATCCAGAATTTGGAGACACAAATTGGTCAGTTGTCTAGGCAGATAGCTGAAAGGCCACAGGGAAAGTTCCCTGGTGATACTATGGTGAATCCAAAAGAGCACTGCAAGTCCATCATTACAAGAAGTGGGCTTGTGCTCCAACCGGTGAACAAGAAAGTGGATGAGAAGAAAGTGGGAGAAAAGAAAAGTGAGGAGGAAGTTGTTGTTGAAGATGTTGTAGTTGAAAATGATAAAGAATAGGAAGTTGAGGAAAAGAAGAAGGAAGAAGAGGTAGTGGTTGAAAAGAGTTCTTCACCCAAGAAGTTGATGAAGTGGGAGAAGAAGAAGATGGATGACAAGCAGGACTAGCCAATTAACCTATCTCCTTATGCTAAAGTGTCTTATCCTCAACGGTTGAAGCAGGAAATCCAGAAGCAGCACTATGCAAGGTTTCTGGATATTTTTAAGAAGTTGCAGATTAACATTCCATTTGCTGAGGCCCTGGAGAACATGCCTCACTATGCCAAATTTATGAAGGATCTTCTGTCTAAGAAGAGGAAATTGAAGGATGGTGAGACAGTGGCTTTGACAGAAGAGTGTAGTGCCCTGATCCAAAAGAAGCTTCCACCAAAATTGAAAGATCCTAGAAGTTTCAGCATCTCTATTGCCATTGGAGATATGGAAGTAGGGAAGGCACTTTGTGATTTGGGGGCCAGCATAAATCTGATGCCTTTGACTGTATGTAGAGCCTTGGGAATCAACACCCTGAAGGATACTAATCTTATATTGCACCTTGCTGATAGATCCATCAAAAGACCAGAAGGTGTGGTTGAAGATGTTCTGGTCAAGGTGGACAAGTTTATTTTTCCAGTGGATTTTGTTATTCTAGATATGGAAGAAGAAGATACTGAAAGCCCTCTACTGCTAGGGAGGCCATTTTTAGCAACTGCTAGATACCTGATTGATGTTGGACAGGGGAAGCTGATGCTAAGAGTGAATGAAGAGACAGTTACAATTGATGTATTTGAAGCCATTAAACATCCTGTTGATGTGGAGGATTGTTTCAGCATGGACATTATACAGGAGGTTGTGGAAGAAGTGACAGGAGAAGAGGACCTGTTATTGGAGGAAGACAAAAGTAAGGAAGAAATGAGTGGGGAATGTTATCAGGAGGAACCAGTAGTTGAAGAGCTTGAAAAGAAGGTGGATGACATTCCTAAGGGAGTACCTAAGGCGGAACTGAAAGAACTACCTTCAAATTTGAAGTATATGTTCCTTAGGGATGATGAAACCTACCCAGCCATTATCAATGCGTTTTTGTCTGAAGGGGAGGAAGTGAAGTTGGTTGAGGTACTCAAGAAGAATAAGACAGCCATGGGCTGTTCATTTTCAGATCTTAAGGGTATCAACCCTTCCTTCTGCACTCACAAGATCTTAATGGAGGAAGAAGTCAAACCAGTGAGGCAACCACAGAGAAGACTCAACCTCACTATGAAGGAGGTAGTGAGGAAGGAGGTGGTGAAGTTGCTTGATGCTGGGATGATTTACCCTATTTCAGACAGTGCTTGGGTGAGTCCAGTTCAAACAGTACCCAAGAAAGGAGGGATGACTGTTGTAAAAATTGAGAACAATGAACTGATCCCTACAAGAACAGTGACTGGCTGGAGGATGTGTATTGACTACCGGAGACTCAACAAAGCAACCAGGAAGGATCATTTCCCTATTCCATTTTTGGACCAGATGCTAGAGAGATTGGAAGGACATGTTTTCTACTGCTTCTTGGATGGATACTCTGGCTATAACCAGATAGCCGTGGCTCCAGAAGATCAGGAAAAGACCGCATTTACTTGCCCCTATGGAATTTTTGCATACCGGAGGATGCCTTTTGGGCTATGCAATGCACCTGCAACTTTTCAAAGGTGCATGCTTTCCATATTCTCTGACATGGTAGAAAGATGCATTGAGATTTTCATGGATGATTTTTCTGTGTTTGGTCCTACTTTTGATGCATGTTTAGAAAACTTGGATTGTGTTTTGAAAAGATGCCAAGATTGCAATCTTGTGCTAAATTGGGAGAAATGTCACTTCATGGTGACAGAGGGGATTGTTCTGGGACACAAAGTGTCCAACAGAGGGATTGAAGTAGATAAGGCTAAGATCTCTGTTATTGAGAAATTACCCCCTCCCATAAATGTTAAAGGTGTGAGGAGTTTTCTAGGACATGCTGGATTTTACCGTCGTTTTACTAAAGACTTTTCAAAAATTGCAAAACCATTGTGCAAGCTGTTAGGGAAAGATCAAGAATTTATGTTTACTGATGACTGCTTGCATGCATTCAATGTGTTAAAAGATAAGTTGATCACTGCACCTATAATTATGGCACCTGATTTTTCATTACCTTTTGAGCTTATGTGTGATGCCAGTGATTTTGCTGTGGGGGTAGTGTTAGGTCAAAGGAAGGATAAACTATTGCATGTCATTTACTATGCCAGTAAAATTCTTAATGAGGCACAAAAGAATTATGCTACTACATAGAAAGAGTTATTGGCAATAGTGTATGCATTTAACAAATTCAGGTCATATCTGCTAGGGTCCAAGGTTATTGTTTACACTGACCATGCAGCTTTGAAGTATTTGTTAACAAAGCAAGATGTTAAGCCCAGGTTACTCCGATGGATGTTACTTCTGCAAGAATTTGAAGTAGAAATCAAAGACAAAAAGGGAGTGGAGAACTTGGTGGCTGATCATTTATCCAGGATCACAGAGACACATCTACAAGAGGGACCAGAAGTGGTGATCAAGGAGGAGTTTCCTGATGAACAAATACTGGCCATAAGCACTGTTTCCCAGTTGGTGCATGATCAAGTCTTGTCTGTTAACACACTACCATGGTTTGCTGATTTTGCTAACTACAGAGCTGCTGGAGCTATGCCTAAGGATTTCACTTACCAGCAGAGGAAGAAATTTCTGCATGATGTGAGGAGATACATCTGGGATGACCATACCTCTTCTATAGATGTTCAGATGGAGTAATCAGAAGATGCATTCCAGAAGAGGAGCAAAAGAGTGTCTTATGGCACTGTCATGGTTCAACCTATGGTGGTCATTTTGCAAGTGAGAGAACAGCAGCCAAGGTTTTGATGAGTGGCTTTTACTGGCCCACATTGTACAAGGATGCCAGGAAATATCTGGAAGCATGTGAGAACTGCCAAAGGACTGGAAACATCTCCAGGAGACATGAAATTCCTTTGACTAATATTCTAGAGGTGGAGATCTTTGATGTTTGGGGTATGGATTTCATGGGAACTTTTCCCTCTTCCTACTCTAACAAGTATATCCTGGTGGCAGTTGATTATGTGTCGAAGTAGGTTGAAGCCATAGTCACACAGACCAATGATGCTAGAGTTATGATAGCATTCTTGAAGAAGCACATATTTGTGAGATTTGGAGTTCCAAGAGCCATAATAAGTGATGGGGGAACCCATTTTGATAACAGGTTTGTTGAAGTTGTTCTTGCAAAGTATGGAGTAAGGCACAAAATAAGTACTCCGTACCATCCACAGACTTGTGGTCAGGTTGAGATTTCCAACAGGGAACTTAAAAGAATTCTGGAGAAGACTGTTGGGAATGCTAGGACTCAATGGTCCAAGAAACTTGATGACACTTTGTGGGCATATAGGACAGCATTCAAGACTCCTATTGGAATGTCTCTATTTCAGTTGTTATTTGGGAAAACATGTCATTTGCCTGTGGGTTTGGAGCATAGAGCATTATGGGCTATTAAGTTCTTAAACTTTGACTCAAAAGCAACAGGTGAGAAAAAACTACTGCAATTGGATGAACTGGATGAGTTTCGTCTGTCTGCATATGAGAGTGCCAACCTATATAAGGAGAAGACCAAGCTATGGCATGACAGGAAGCTCACACCAAGGGATTTCAAGGTGGGAGATCAAGTGCTGTTATTCAACTCCAGGTTGAAATTGTTTCCAGGGAAGCTGAAGTCTAGATGGTCTGGACCATTTGTAGTTAAGAGCTTGAGCCTACATGTTGCATGTGCCTCAAGCTAAGGCTTCATGCATTTCTTGCACATCAAGTTACCTTCCTCTACATCATTTTCATACATACTTGGACTCATGTCAAATGGTAAACCATGCACCTTTATTTTCATGTACCAAAAGAGAACACTTTCATGCTTGTGTCTCAACATGGTCATCTCTCATTACCAATACTCATTATGGTAATATCTCATCTCTTATAGTTTTAACCTTATCATCTCATTTCTTACATACATACCTAAACATCATCATTCTCATTTTTCCATAACATCTCAATCTCATCAAGTTACCTATCCTCATTGGCATAGGATTTAATCAAATAACTGATATCACAAGTAAACATAATTACATATATCTCTTGCACCAAAAAAGGTACAATCTCATCATTCTTTACATAATTACATCATTATCATTTACACAATCCAGATTACATATACATCATTGAAATAATAAGCCTTATACATGATCTCTATCAAATGTAATAAAAGGCTTATACAAAATGCATAAACTAAACTATCATCTCATCATGTCATGATTTGATCAAACTAATTACATATCATCAAAACAACAATTAGGCTATATGTCATGCAATCACGTTATATCTGGTCGCTTGCCACGTGATGCTCTAATGATATCCCCAACACGGGATGGGATAGAAATCTTAGTAAACTAAGGGTTCTTAGAAGATCACTCCACCCTATAGTTCACTTCACATGCATCACAGTAATATAACATAACATATATATATCATCTCAACTCATCTCGCAGGGAACTTCCAAGAAAATCCTTTTATTTTCTTAGATATCTAATCTCAAGTAGGTCCCCGTCGAGTTGACTCCAAGAAAATCCCTACAATATGGTTCCTTCGTGAGAAACCTCTGTATCATAGGTATAATAACCCGCACCGATAAAATAAGAAATTGGAATTTTTTCCATAATTTTGCATAATTAGTTAGACAAGGAATTTAATTGAAGAAATAAAGTAATTTTAAGATAAAAATGAGATTTTAGTAATTTTTGGTAGATACAACAATTTTACTGTTACCAAAAAAATTTAAATGAGATAATGAGAAGATATCTCACAAGATTATTAAATGTAGAAACACATGTTGAGAGATGCTAAGTATTGGCTAGAAATTAAGTAAGAAAATAAGGTGAAATAGAAAATTACTATGTTTAGTGGTGTGACCCGATTCTACCGGTCACTTAAGTGACTTAATAAAACAAAGAAAGACACATTAGAAAATCATTTTCAGCTCTTTTCCCTCCTTTGTTCAACAAACACCATAGAAGAAAAGAGAAAAGTTTGAGAGAAATTTCTAAAATTGATAACTTGAGCTATAGTTGATGGATTTGTATGATTCCAAAGCCAGAATCACTTGAAATCTATTAAACAATCCATTCCTCATCTTACTTTTGAGTGGATTTGAGTGTAGAGAGAGTTATTATCCGCCAAAGACTCAAAATTTACATGAAGTGTGGTGTTTTTTGAGCTTTTCAACCAATGGATGCTTGGGAACTCATTCCTCCTTTGTTCTAGTGTTAATTGGGCTAAGATTTTCTAGCCCTAGCCTTGTTTTCATGAAATTTCATATATCTAGGGTTGGATGAATAGTAAATTTCAAAATATGCAGGAAATGTGTAGATAGAAAATGTTTTAGACATGAATGTAGTTGTAGAACATGTTTAGAATGTTATAAGAAAAAAAGGGAAAACAATAAAATGATGGTTATGTCATTTTGAGAAAATGGCGTAGAGATGGTTGAAAAGCCTATTAAGATTGTGAGTCGAAATGGTTATGTAAGAGATGATTTTAATATGAGTTATGTAGTTTTAAGTTTGTAAACACATTGATGTTAGAGAAATTTATTAGAAGCCTCAAATGTAGAGACAAAGACTAAAAGTTCATGAATTTTACTAAGTGGGCAAGTATGTAATTAAGAAAAATAATGTAGTCTAGCCAATGTTGTAGTATGTGTGTGTGGTAGAATGATAAATGATATGTATTGATGACCACTATCTCACTTTATGCCATAGGTTGCAATTGTGAGATAGCTTTTGGTTGTGACAAATGCAAGACAAAGAGCTTGGATCAAGGACGACATAGAGGTAAACTTCAGTCCTTGGGGTTAATCCCCTTTGTGTTTCACCAAGTCCCTTCGGGATAATGGTTTGTATCTCTGTGCATGGTAAGAGCATGGCATATTAGAAAGCATGTAGAGTTATGTTTCAGAATATGTTTATGATGATGTTATGTATAACACCTCGCAATTCTAAATTATATATTAAAATATTAAACATGGATTAAAGGGAAGGATTAGTGAAAATCCTGGAAATTAGGTCAAAATACAAAGGAAGGGTAAAACGGTAATTAGCCAACACACAACCCTAGGAAGATAAAAATTGAGTAGAAGGTCTCAGATGATAAAAATAACCCTGGAAATGAATTTAGAACGAAAAATTGAGTGGTTAGGCAAGTTTCAGAAAATTCAGTGAATAGTGTTTTTACTTGGTAAAAATATCGCGGTACAGTTGCACCGTAAAGCATGCCGATTGAGTTTTGAGCTCTAGGTTTTGAATACAAGTTATAAATGGTATATAGGACTAGGAAATAGGATTTCTGATGAAAATTGATGGAAATTAGTAAGTTTGGGGAAGCGTGCCAACGGCGCGCGCAACAGCTTAAAACAACAACATTTTCTCCAAACGACCAGAAAACTCTAGATTCATCTGATCAAAGGTAATTAAAGGATAATGGTTAATGTTAAAAATTAGAGTTTCTAAATAGGTTATGAATTTATGGACGTTTAGTGGAATCGGAGGAAAATTCGAGTTAGTTTGAAATCGCGTGAGGTGGCGGTGGGGCCCACCTCACTTAAACCACTTAAGACACCTAAGCACATGTCCTATTCATCATCTTCTCCTTCCCTTCTCTCTCTCCGAGACCGACAGCCCCCCCTTTGGTTCCATTTTTTAGTTTTGATTCTTCCCTCCATAACTTAGTCATTTAGGCACCAAATCAAGAGTTCTTTGACTTGAAATTTGTTGGAAACGACCTTCCAAACACATTGGTAGTAGTCTCAAGCCTTGAATCCCTCTATATTTTGAGAAATCTCCTCCCCAAGGTTGTGGCTCTTTGTGGTAGATTTGTGTTCATGGAGTTGTTTGGAGCTCCAATGGTTTAGTATGATGTGGAGGAGCCCTATGCCTACCTTTTGAGTAAGTTTCCTCATATTTGATTGGTTTGATTCATGGATTTGATTTCATGAACCCTAAGCTTGTTTTGGTTTATTTGTGTTGTTAGAGAGCTCAAATGGAAATGTGTATTAGATGATTATGTCTTAGAATGATGTGTTAGAGATAGAAATGCAATAAAATTTATTGGTGAAAATGTGATTTTAACTTAGGAAATTTTGAATGATGCCATGACTTTGTGTTTTGGAATTGTGTTAGAATTGTGTTGGTGAGTTGTTGTATGGTTGTATGATGTTATAATAGGATTGTATGAGGTGTGGAATGATTGAATTGGATTGAAAATCTCTTGGAGTTTGTCTATGTTGAATTCGGCCAAGAGAGGAAATGAGGGGAATGAGATGTTGTAAAATTATTTGGATGATGTGTTGTGTATTGTATGATAATTAGAAGGGTTGTGTGATGTTGGAAGGTTGGAGAACCAGTGGAAAAATATTGGATAGTGTGAAATTGTGGAATTGAACCTAGAGCAAATTATTAGGCAAAATGATGTTTGAATGATGTAGGATGCAAATTAGCACCTAAAATGGTATCTTGGTAACCTAAGAATGCTTAAGAAAATGAGAAAGAAAATAAAGAATTTTTTTTTTTGTAAAATTACACTATGTTGGCCGAACCTACCTAGGTGTGGGGGAGGATTTTGAAGTTTTTTTATTTTGATAGAATTGCCGTGTTGTGACGATCCGTATATGGTCGTTGTAGGTTGCCGTACATGGATTTGAACCCCGAACCGTGAGCTTGGTGGGTTGCCCTTGGTCCCGGACCAAGTGGGATTGTGGTGAGTATCTTGGAACCATGCTTGTAGAATTTGTAACTTGCATGTGTTTATATGAGTGGTAATTGATTGGGTATGTCCTCTGTGTAGGCATTTCTGTTATGAAACGAGCTCAGAATATAAATTGCATTGGAGCTACGTGGAGAGGATTATACAGGTAACCTCTTGGTACAGGGGCTTGATCTCCTTGTGTGTTCCACCATGCCCGTTGAGGGTGATGGTAGGAAGTGTATGTAAGTAATGTAGGATAACATGTTCATGCATATAGTATGTGTGTTGGTACATAGGATGTACCGTGTCTCTGGCTAGTAGACGTGTTGCCTTCGGGCGTTACGGACTTCCACTGGATAGGTCTCCGAGAGGGAGTTCCAGTTGACATGGGGTCGTTGTGTGTGATCCGGATAGGAGCACACTAGGAAGTCTCGGGTGGTTATGGATGGAGGGTGCCTTGGTTTGATGTTCTGGGAACACGCCTTGGTTGAGACCCGTAGGCTTATATGCCGAGCCAATAGGCGGGACGTTGCGTGGTATTGGCATCGACCATTCCAGCTTCGTCGTATTTTGTATTCCTATGCTCCCCTATTTATCTAAATCCCTTGCTTTATCTCGTTTTCAAGATGTTATTTTATGTTATTTATATGCATCGAAGTGAACCATTGGGCGGAGTATTCTCCAAAACCTCTGGGTTACTGAGATATATTCGTATAGCTCACTCCGCTTTGGGGGCTTTATTTCAGGAGGTAGCAGTGGCGTTGGAGCGGCGGGCAAGAAGCCCGTAGGATGATTAGGTGGAGGATTATGTAGTTTGCATTTTGGTGGCCATTGGGCCTAGGCTAGACTTAGGGCATGAACATTGCATATGGAATTTAGGATGAGATTTATTGTCATATTTGTTCATGTCATTTTGCCTAAGTCTAGTTACATGTGTCATTTTGAGATTTATTCATTATGTTATATTTGAAGATTATGGTTTGTAAAGTGTAAT